CATATAACCTCCTCCCTGGGGGATGGACAACAGAAAAGTGGGTGAAGGGAGACATCAGACAGTGTAAGACATGACAAAATAATAATAACTTATAAATTATCAAGGGTTCGTGAGAGAGCAGGTAGGAAGGGGAAAAAAAGGAGGAGCTGATGCAAGGGGCTCAAGTAGAAAGCAAGTGTTTTGAGAATGATGAGGGCAACAAATGTACAAACGTGTTTGACACAATGGATGTATGTATGGATTATGATAAGACTTATACGAGCCCCCAATAAAATGATTATTAAAAAAAAATTTTAAAAGAGAAGGAAGCTCTGACTTGTGACTTCTGAAGGACCCCCCTGTGGTGTAGTGGGTTACACCTTGTGCTGCGAACCACAAGGGCGGCAGTTCCAAACCACCAGCCACATCACGGGAGAAAGATGAGACGCTCCGCTCCCATGAAGAGTTTAGTCTCAGAGACCCACAGGGCAGTTCTACCCTGTCCTATGGGGTCACTGTGAATCAGAATTGACTGGAGAGCAGCGAGTTGTTTTTTGTTTTCTGAAGTGGCCTTGTAAACCCTCTGGAGCATGTCTTCTCTGACATATGTGTGGTTGCTGTGAGTTAGAACTGAATGGATGGCCTTTAGGTTTTTAAATATATGTTTTCTGGGAATGCCACCAAATCCCCCACTGCCCCATATTTGTAAATACATTTGCCTTTGTATATTGTAAATACAAATGAAAAAATATTTTTCAGTTGCTAGCCTCTTTAGAATCATAGAGAGAGCAAGGGTGTAGGTTTCAGACTCTCACTTGTTCCCCTCAGAGCCTATTTCTTCATCGGTAAGACTATGGCAAGAATACCTATTTTATGTGGGGTTTTGTAAAGATTACAGATTAATGTAACTGTATGTTTAGAAACTCTATTTCACTTTGTATCTGAGAGCTAGATTTTAATTCTCACAACAATCTTATATGCTTGTATTCTTTATAGGCTTGAAAATTCAGGTCAAATGCTTTGCCCAAATTCTTACAAGTTTGAGCAGATCTAGCACTTAAAACTGGGGTTTCAAATGCCTAGATTTTTATGTTGGAAACCTGATAGAATGAACAATGGAAGCTTTTAGACAATTCAGAATGCCTTTTAAATTATGTTATAATGGATTGATATGAATATAAGTTCTAAAAATTTACACTAAATTTGGAGTTTTGAGAGATTTCACATAAAATCTGATAAGAAAAATATCACATATCTTAAGATAAAATTTTCTTTTGGAAATAGAAATATTATATTAAATAAAGTGCTTGGAATTATCTAATGGACGTGGAGAACTTTTTAATAGAACTCTGGGAATATAGATTATGTGTACAAAATTTAACAAAAAGTATTAGATATTTTCTATTGAAGATATTTACTATATTGATTACTGCTTAAATTATAAAAATATTAGGCACTCTAGTACTCTTCTGATAAAACATACTTAGGTAGTTTGTCAAATTACAGCAGCTCTTGATAATATCAAAATGTTGATAACTTGTCTCTGAGTTATAAGATTTTTTTTAAACCTACATTATAAAGTAAAATTTGATTGTGATTCTGCTTACTTTCTAGGCATGCCGAGACTTTAGTAAGGAGCCATGAAAAAGATAAAGATTCAAGAAGGAAGGTAAGATAATTGATGTTGAGGACATATTGGTTTTATTGTATAATCTCCCTAACATTGAGTTAATTGTGACTCAAAACAATCCTAAATTAGAGGGTAGAGCTGCCCCTGTGGGTTTCTGAAACTAACTGTATTCTTTACAGGAATAGAAAGCCTCTTCTTTCTCCAAAGGAACAGCTGGTAGTTTTGAACTGTTGACCTTGTGGTTAGCAAGCAGCCCAATGATTAATCACTGTGCCACCAGTGCTCCTTTGTTATATAATAGGGCCAGTTTTTTGCTTCTTTTTTGGGTTTCCTCAGAACCTGGAAAAAGGATTTGATTGAAGATGATTGAGTCGATTTTGGTAGTCCCAGGAAACACATTTTATATTAAATTCCAAATAGAATGAAAGCAAAAAAGATGGAAAAGTGTAAGTCATCAAGTAATAACTAATAGAGCTGCAGAAGGTATATTAATATCAGTAAAAATAGACTTTGAGACAAAAAGTGTTATTTGACACAAAGAAGGATATTTCATAATGATAGAATAACTAATTTGACAGGAAGATATAACAACTATAAATGAAAATGTCCCTTATAACAAAAATCCAATATACAAGAAGAAAAACTGGCTGAAGTAAAGGGAGAAATTGACAGTTCAGTAGTAAAAGAGACTTCAATATCCCACGTAGAGTAGTGAATTAGAACAGCATCTAATGTTAACCAGCCTGACCATATAGATGAAAGTGATACATTTCTAGAAAGATATAAATTATGACTTATGAAGAAAATTCAAGTCTAAAAGTCATGATAAGCAAAGATTTTACATTAGTGATTTAAATCTTCCAACAAAGAAGAGCCCAGGCTTAGCTGGATTCACTAGCAAATACTATCACACAGTATTGGTACTTACACACATTCAGAACCCCACTCTTTGCATAATTATTTTTATGTTTTAAATTAACTTGTGTATATATTTGTATTATAACTAGTATCATGATATTTGTATATACTGATTTTTTTCATTTGGTGTACATATTTTTCTTGCCTTCATTTTCTATAGTTTTCATAGATAGTATCAGAATAGTCTTTATAAACTACAAAGTATAATGTAGTGTTATGGTATAAATTATTCAACCACTTATTTAGGTTTTTTTTGTTTGTTTCCAGATTTTTTTATAGAAGTTTCATTGGCATATAATTCACATACCATACAATTCATTAGTTTATTCACACAAAGAAGAGTTGTATAATCATCATCACAATCAATTTTAGAATATTTTCTTCATTCTTATACACATTGTTATTAGCTCCTCATTCTCCTTTAACCTCCCCTGTTGTACCCCTAAGGAACCAATAATCTAGTTACTGTCTCTACAGATTTACATACCCTGGATTTCATATTGCTTCTAGATTTTAGTTGTCATAGATAACGTGCAAGTGTAATTTGGCTTCTCTTAGATTATTTCTAAAGTATTATTTGTATATTTTGAAACTGATTGTGGTAGCAATTGTATAATACTGCTTGATATGATTAAACTATGGAATGATTTGACATCTGTATTAGCTCTTCATAAAATGGTTTTTGGGGAAAATAATTATTTTTTATTTGTTAATTACTTAAGAACCCATGATTGTAAGAAAATCATGTTTAATATTTTGTTGCAAATTTTCATGTATTTCTTTATTCTACATACATACAGACCCACAAAAGCAATTTTATGTAAAGCTCATATGGGACATGTTGCTTTGGTATGCATACATTTTAGTCATCACGTTTTTTGGAATGGTCACTGGCTCACCCATGGGAGAAAGTTGTGGGAGTCTGCTTTTGTAAAGATAGATAACCAGAGAAACCTTAGGGGAAGTTCTACTCTGTTCTGTACAGTCATTATAAGTCAGAATCAGCTCAATTGGCAATAGGTTGGTTGTTTCTTTGGCTGACTCATCATCTAAATATTATCATTGCCTTACCCACAGGAGAAAACTTAGGCACATATAAATATATATATAGATTTAGATTTATAGATATTTTCTCACAAAATCTTTTTCAGTCATCTATTGGCATACACATGTGGCAATTTTGGATGCCTTTCAAAAAATAACACATACCATGCAGCATATTTTCTTTTCCAATTTGTTGTAGCAATTCTGTAGTTCACATAATATGAATCTACCACTTTTTTAAATAGGTAGATTTCTTGGAGTGGAATTAAATTAGGTGAAAATTAGTAAATTTCCCTATCTCTCAATTTGGCCTATATTAGCATTGTATACTGTATATGTAATGTGAACAAATAAATTTGTAGTCATAAAATAATAAGAATCATAACGTTAATTTTAATAATATTAATTCAGCATATTTATAATTCAACATGTACTTAATATAAAAATTATCACTGAGATAATTTGAACTTTTTTTTTATTTGTCAGAAGAGAAAGGTATGTTATAAGCCTATTCCCTTGAAAAATAATAGCAATGATCTTGATAGGTACTTGACGGCCATACTTTGGCTTATGATTATGTTATATATTGAATAAGATCAGCATTTATATATTGAATAGCATCTGTATTTAATTAGGTATAAAATATTCATGCAACTCATATTGGTTGCATTCTTTAGCATTTCTGGAGATCTTGCAATATTCTGAAAAATTTTCTGAGTATGTCTACAATAGTAATATATCTGGAAAAAATTTTGACTGTAATCTTTTTGGAAAAATATTTTTATATTCACTATGAGAAATTTACTTTATTCATGAATAATATGTCACCACCAGTTTTATACACTGAATAAATCTTGGGTAGCATCTATGAGCGTACACTATTTCTAATACTACTGGCCATGTTTACTGGGTTCTTATGTGTCAGACCCAGTGGTGAACATTATATGCATTATTTTATTTAATCCTCTCATGAGTATTATAAAGCAGGTATTGGTGTCCTTAATTTACAGAGGACAAAAACAAAGCATGGAGAGAATAGTTATGTTCTCTAAGTTATACACTTAATAAGCCACAGAGTCAGGACCCAAATATCAAAATTTTAACTTTAAAGTTTGTGCCCCTAATTACTAAGTGCATGGCTTTTCCTCTCATGGAGATGTGGGAAGGCAGTCTGTGTGACTGCTCCCTGTCACGTTACTGTAGCCAGGAGGAAGGGTCATCAGTGTGGAAATTAGCTCAGAGGCAAGAAGTGAAGACACTGTGGTGAGGAAGATGTATATTTTGAAATATATATCTGAAAAGATCAAAGTGGATGTCAGAAGAGATTCTGAAACGTCCTCTTTTTTTTATGAAATGCTTTTATCGAGGGCTCTTACATCTCTTATCACAATCCACACATTCATCCAGTGTGTCAAGCACATTTGCACATATGCTGCTGCCATCATTTTCAAAGCATTCTCTTCCCACTTGAGCCCCTGATATCAGCTCCCCATGTCTTCTCCCTTCCTCCCCACCTACTTTCCCTCACGAACCCTTGATAAGTTATAGATTATTATTTTCATATCTTACATCATCCTCCCTCACCTGGGCGTGATGGGGTCAGACTATGCACAATTCCCGCACTGTCTCCAGTATTGTCCCCAGCAGCGCTGTGGTTTAGTGAGGGATGTTGTATCTCATGGTGGGGCCGGCCCTATGGTCCTCTCTCTGTGTTGTCTGCTCCGAGCAGGAATATTGTCCTCAGGCCTTGGTGGGCCAGGATGACCCCCCTCCCTCTCCATCCATTTTCATTTCTCCAGTGTCCTCTAATCAGATGCACCTCCCTCCCCAAGCTGTAGTGCTGTCCTCTGAAGTACATTCCTCTGAGGGGGGAGGGTAGAGTCGGCTGGGGGGGTGAAGGGGGGAGTGTCCACATAGTTGGGAGTGGGGCTGGCCCTGCAGACATCTATTGACATGCTGGTATGTTGTATTCACATCTTAGCACTTCAGGTTGAAGCCTGGTCTCTCTCTCCCTCTCCTGTGGAGATATAAACAATACCCCTCCCCTTGGATGGGTTAGTGCCCTGCTACCCCCCTACCCATGTCTTTTTTTTCCCCTCTCTCTCCTTATTTCCCCCTCTTAATAGTTGGCTGTCGTATGTATCCCAGGATTGGGTTTGGCCCCTGCCATAGTTGCTGGATCTCACCCCAGGGATATATGTATATAGTAGCTTTTCCCCTATGCCCCATTTTTTTGTTTGTTTGTTTTTTAAGCTTACCTCAGTGGACTCATGTTGAACTTGTCCTTTTGTGCTTGGCTTACTTCACTTAGCATAATTTCCTCCAGTTCTTCCCATGCGGCAATGTGCTTCATGCATTCATTGCTGTTTTTCAGGGATGCGTAGAACTCCATTGTATGTATATACTGCAGTTTTTTGATCCATTCGTCTGTTAATGGAAATTTGGCTTTTGAAACATCCTCTTAATCATAGAGTTACAAACGCACATGGAAGAAGTGGTGACGTTGAAGAGCTGAACAGTAATTTTCAAAGGGCAGCTCTAAAACACAAATCCAAATATTATGATGAAATGTGCAAAGACCTAGACTAAGAAAACCAAAAAGAACATGCTCAGCATATCTTAAACTGAAAAAACTTAAGAAAAAAATTCAAGCTTCAAGCTGAAATATTGAAAGATTCTATGAGGAAAATATTGAATGACACAGGAAGCATCCAAAGAAGAATAATAGTCACTGTACTAAAAAGAACTAGTTGATGTTCAGCCATTTCAAGAGATAGCATATGATCAAAATCTAATAATACTGAAGAAAGTATTCCAAGCTGCATTGGAAGCATTTGCCAAGAATAAGGCTTCAGTAATTGATGTGATACCAATTGACATGATTCAACAAGCTGATGAAGCTCTGGAAGCACTCACTTGTCTATGCCAAGAAATTTGGAAGATAGCGGGGTGGCTAAGGTCAGAGAGAGAGACAGACAGACAGACATGGGGTGGGGTGGGGTGGGGAATGACAACTGGTGACAATGATGGGAAAAGTGGTAATGTGAAGACTTTATCAGTTTACATTTTGAGGACAGGATTTATGCTGGTTGTTAAGACAGCACTATAGAAGGTCATGCTTATGTTAGCATGTTTTATATATATATATTTAAGAATTTGAGTTAGGTGATGTTAGTTTTACAAATAAAAATTTCCATTGGCAACATCAAATGAATCTAAGACAGTATATATGTATTTTCCTTCATTATTTATTTGCATCGTTCAAATTTATGCTCTAAGGTTTTTGCTACATATTTGATTTTTCACCTCTAGGAATCTGAAAAGGATGACATTGATTTGGAAAATGCAGGAACTGAAGAATATACAGCCAGCTTTGAAGATGATTTTGAAGTATGTATAAAAGTGAATTTGTTTCTCAGTTTAAAAATCAACTCTTCTAAAATCAGTGTTTGTAATTCAACAGCTTTTTTCTTTCCATTAGTGTGAACATTTAATATCTGTATGTGTGTAACTGTTAGCTATAAAATGCTTGCTATTCTTAACAATATAATGTAATTAAATGGTTTTATATTTCCACATCTTTTTAAATGTCCTATATTCAAATATACATTTATTATATATAGATGCAATATAAAAATATTTATTTATGCAAAATCGGACAATCTCAATGCAAAAATTTGTCTTTAATTCCATTTTTCCTCAGATTCTTGGAAGCCCTCTTGTGTGTTTGCAAATTATTGTTACTAATTGCTCTTTATGTAAGTCTTATTGTGTAGCTCATTTCAGAGAAAATAATGCAGCAGTTTATATTGATTTATAATTTAAAGACAGTAAAACCAGATAAAAATATATCTTAGCCAGAATGTGGACTTTGTGTATTTTAAGTGATACATTGTAACATTGTATTAGATAATATGTGATTACTAAAAGTTTATTTATCAAAAAATATTTCAAACACTTTTTTATTCTCTATAGGACTATGAAGATGATTTTGAAATTTGTGATGGGGATGATGGTGATAGTGATAATGAGCAGGAATCAAAAGAAACGATTGAAGAACTTCCTCCAGCCAGAAAAAAGGAGATACAGGAAATTCAAAAGGCTATTAATGCAGAAAATGAAAGGATTGGTGAATTATCTTTGAAACGGTTTCAGAAGCAAGGTGGAATAGAATACGAAGGGGAGTCAAGGACAGGTAAATAACTAAACTAAATACTAAGTATATGTCCATGCTTTTATGAAACTGTAGACACTAAAACCTTGTAGACATTTGTTATAGGCAGAATTGTTCTAATTAATCACGTGGATAAACATTTAATATATTCATGGTGATGCTTTGCATCTAACACATGTGAAAACAAAACACAACTTAACTGCCGCTGAGTCGATGCAGACTCATTGTGACCTTATGGGAT